ATTTCCAAGCTATTTTCAAAACCAGACCCAAATATAGCACCTTGCATTGTTCCAAAATTGTCAGATGGAAGAAATAAAATGTCATATGTTGGTAAAGCATCTTGCCTCCTACTAAAGACAACAGACCATCTCAAAAATATTTTCAGTGGGTCATTAGCTGGAAATGCTGAGATTTGTAGCCTCGCACATCTGTAGGACACAATTTTGAGAAAAACTGCATTATCCCATTTGTTCCAATTACCCCAATTTCATAGGCTGTTTTCAGCTGTTCTTCTCATGTAGAACAATCAAAGGAATGTGTTTTTAAGGAAGTCAGTGAGAACAATCCCAGGGGCCACCCAAGCACCAAGAAAATCAGCACTGATGGGTACTTTTCACATTTAGTGGCAACAATGGGTTGTGGTTTGGACAGTCTCAGGCCTGGAGTTGATCTTTGTCATTGTTTCATCACCCCTGTTTTGTTTTGTGGGTTTTGTCGGGACAAAATTTGAGCCTGGGGTGCCTGCTGATTTAATGTTTCTCGCATTATGTCCTTTTTTAGTTTTTGTTCACTGCTCAGAGTCTCCTGGAGTTGGGCAGCCCATAAATTTCAACAAATAAAAAAATAACTCCAGGTTGAGTTACAATTTTGGAACAATATGTGATTCTCATATAAGTAATTCTCAACACACAACCATAATGGAGCCTGCTCATTATGGCCAGATGTCAGAACAATTGAAAAGCAGGTGGGATACTTGGATGTACTCAATTTACAACCACAATTGAGCCCAAACTTTCTGTGACTAAGTGAGACATTTGTTAAGTGAGCTTTGTCCCATTTTATGACCTTTCTTGCCGCAGCTATTAAGTGAATCATCGCAGCTGTTAAGTCAGTAACACAGTTGGCTTCTCCTTTGAATACTCTTGTCAGAAGATAGCAAAAGATGATCACATGATCATGAGACACCGCAACTGTCATAAATATGCATCTGAATTTTGCCTGGGGATACTTCAACAGTTGTAACTGTGAAAAACAGTCATAAGTCACTTTTTTTTTCAGTGCTGCTGCACTGTTCACTAAGGGAACAGTTGTAAGTCAAGGACTAGCTGTGTTTGAAATAGGATTTTTAAAAAATCCTGATGTTAGGGAACAACACACATCATTCCACAAAACTTCCATGACCCATATTTCCAAATGTCATTTGAGGAAATTCTTCCCAGAAGGTCAAGATGGCCGTCGCAATAGTGCTATTAAAGTTCTCCTGGTTTTTTTATTGTGGCCCCCATTTCAATTTTTTGGACCATACGCTGCAGATACTGTTTGCTTGCCACAAAATCATGGGCAGAAGCTAAATCAAACCCAAAGGAAGGAGAACCAACACAGTGGGAGTTGGGTACACCTCAGGAAAGGAAAGCTGACACAAAAATGCCACAACATCATTTGTAGTTTTGTCACTCTGCTGCCTAATGCCATAAAGCCTTTCACACTCCATCCTGTGACAGGAAATGATAAATGATCCCAGTCAAAAGCTCAGGGTCAGGTTTTAAATCTCTTTTTCCCCACCTGCCCCCCCCCCGCCCCCTGCACGCCCCCCCCCCAGCAAACACACATACCGCTGGCACTTTCTTATCTTTCTAAATTAGTTTTAGATTCCCTGTAAGATAAATCAAACGACACATTTGTTCCAACTGAAAAAATGAATTTGCCCCATAATTGGAAGCAGGAGAGGAAACAGAAAGAGACACAAAGAAACAAATAAACACACAGTGGTCGACACAATATACTTAACCAGGTATATTAAAAACCTATTGGCCGCATTCATATAACATGGTGCCGTTGCCTAGTTTTAGTCTCTGGTTCTTACTGTTTAATTATCCCATTTAATTAGCGTCATTAAATTTAATAAGTAAGAAGATTCAGCAAATCATGTGAATGCAGATAATGTAGAGGGGAGATGGAGAGAAGAAGAGGGGCACGGCTATTAGCCGAGTCCAGTCAATGAGACGCTCAATGTCAAAATCTGAATTTGTGATCAATGATCAACAAAAGCAAAAAAAAACAAAAAGAACTACAACATGCACACAATGAAATGCTCTGAAGAATCAATAATCATGTTGCTCTCAACCGCTTTGGTAAAAGAAAAATAAAATCCATGTCTACATATCTATAGCTGTAAGTGATATTTCTGGGAAAAGAGATATTTCAAAGCAAGTCAAGTTTCATTTTAAAAAATGGGGATGACAACACAATTCTCCTAACAAGACTTTAGGAATCAAAATTCGATGACTGTGAAACTGAGGCTGCCCACAAGAGATGAGCTTTCTTTCAGCTGGAGTCAAAATCTACCCCAAGATTCAATCAGAATAGAGCTGGAAGGGACCTTGGAGGTCTTCTAGTCCAACCCCCTGCTTAAATAGGAGACCCTATCCCAATTTAGATAGGTGACTGTCTAGTCTTTTCTTAAAACCTCCAGTGATGAAGCACCCACAACTTCTGGAGGCAAGCTGTTCCACTGGTTAATTGTCCTGTTAGAAAGTTTCTCCTTAATTCCAGGTTGTTTCTCTCCTTGATTAGTTTCCATCCATTGTTTCTTCTCCTGCCCTCTGTTGCTTTGGAAAATAAGTTGACCCTCCTCTTGTCTGTGGCAGCCTCTCAAATATTGGAATACTATTATCATGTTTCCCCTGGTCCTTCTCTTCACTAGACTAGCTGTACCCAAATCCTGCAACGGTTCTTCATATGTTTTAGTCTCCAGGCCTTTGATCATCTTAGTTGCTCTTCTCTTCTTTTCCAAAGTCTCAGCATCTTTTTTGTAATGCGGTAACCAAAACTGGATGTAATGTTCCAAATAAATTCCTTCGCATTTCCATGTTCCTGCCCCTGTTCCTTTCTACAGATCTGTCCCATCCCTACCCTGAAAACACACCAGCTTTCTTTAGTCAGTAGAATTGAAACAGGAATGAAGCAAGCAAGGAAAGAGAGAGAGAGAAATCCCCTGTAGTCTATTTTCTGATCATCTGTATCAGAATAATCAGAATGTCACTGTGTCATTGCCAGGGAGCTGGGACCAGAGGAAGACCATTCTCCAAAGTGCCCCAATTGACAGAGTCCCTGAATATTACAGGTAGTCCTCGACTTACTACAGTTCATTTAGTAACTTATGTACGATTTGATTGCTTATCATATCCTATGACTAACACTAAGTATTGTATCTTAC